GTCCGGTTGCTGATCAATTCTTTGCATCATAACTTCTGAAAATTGCACCCTGCGGTCAAAATCATCCTTATTCAACTAATGGTGGAGACGAATTTTGTAGGGGTAGAACTTAATTGTCTTTAGATTTTTAGAAATTGACAATACACTCATTTGAAGATCTTTCTGTTGAGATGCTTTTCTAATTGACAATCTGGGATTTTCAACAAATGATTGGGCTACTTCAAATTGTCGCTCTTCTGTCGTTTGGGACCTTGGCCTCCTAGATTTTTGGCGGCTTTTATTACTCCCAGTTTCTACAAATCGTCTGATAGTGCGAGATACAGTCGATATTTAAATACCTTCGCCTTCATTACGAAAGTTTTCATTGAACAACAATCTCACTTCACTGTATGACCTTTGTCTATCCCCCCATCCTCTCATCATCAATAGCGAAACTCTCTCATGCTCTGTAAGAGAAGCCGTTTGGAATTGAAAACAAAAAATTTGCAAAAATTTGGTATAAATAATTCGGTTTCTTTACCTTTAAATAAAAATAATAAGTAATGTACTATTGATCGTTAATATAATATGATAATAATTCAAAACGGACTAGAATGACATAAAAACTTGTTAAATCGATGAAAACTCAAAAACAATCTATTATCTGTTTGACACTGATAGAATCGAGACAAATAAAAACTTTGAAGCATACACTTTGTCGATGGCGAATAAATTTTTCCTTAAGAACCTTAAGAAAACCTTAAGAACAAGGTCAAGGTTCAAAACATCATATCCGAACGTAAAATTTTTCAATCTTGACACTTTTAGGTCAAAAATATGGATTTTCAATCCTAAAAAAGTCCGTTTTAACCTTAATAATAATCTTAACTCATGGACTTGAGAATAAGGGCAAGGTCACGGCTGAATATCCTTCGTTGACCTCTACAGTCTTCTTCATATGCGTAACATTGCTCCCTAGCAGGTGCATTTTCGAAGATATTCGCGTTTTCAACCTAAAACAAGCTTAGACCTTTATGTGACCTTCAGAGGTCAAATTTGGCAGTGTTCAAAGTCATAACCGGACGTAAAAATTTCCGCTCTTTTCATTTCTGGGGTAAAAAGTATGGTGTCCCATTAAAAAAATGATCTGACCTTGGAATGACCTTCAAGGTCATTGTCAAGGTCAAATCCAAGGTCACCGTCAGAAGCCAGGAAAAAATAATAAAAACCCAGTATTTCGCATTTTTTCTAGGACTCATATTTTTCGAGTTATTTTGTTCTTTCGGGACTTTTATAGCACCCTGTATAATATTTTTTTTGTTGAGGAGGAGAAATGCCTGACGCACACCCTGGGGCCCATGCAGGGGTGATTCCAGGGTAGTGTGGGGCTTGCCCCACCCAGCCTAAAACCCCCTCAGCCCACAGCGTGCTGAGTGCGGAAAGCCCGGGAAACACCATGCAAGACGGAACTTAGCCATCCGGACTTCCCGCCACACATGCGCGGCGCTACGCCAGACTCAGGTGGGAGAGCCGCATCTCTCCCTATTTACCTCCGTCCCCCCCGGGTCAAACGGATGATGATGATCACGACGACGATGACGACGACGACGGCGAACAGACGACGACGACGACGACAAAGACGACGACGACGACGAACCCGACACCCCAGACAACGACGACGACGAGGAAGACGAAGACAAAGGCGCGGATCCGGGGGAGGGAGCGGACCAACTCCGATCCTTTGATTGGGAGGAAGAAGAGGGGGAAGAGCCCACGACCCGGCAGGTGGCGGCCCTCTCACGAGCCCTCTCCGCATTCTCTTTTAGGCCGACCACAACAGCGGCGAACCGCGTCATGGCCCTCCAGGCCCGACGAGAGCGGAGGCTCTCACGCACGATCGCCGGTAGGGACAAATCCCCACCCACCCCACTAGCCAACTCCTCACGCTGCACCTGCCACACCACACAGTGCTGCAGGGTATGCTGCGCGTCATCGCGCGCATCTCCGCAGTGGAGACCGATTTTATGTAGGAACTCTGCAAAGACCCCGTGGCCCGTCAACAACTGCGTAACATGGAAGGACAGGCCGCCACGATGCAGACGATCCAACCAGAGATTAAACTCCGGCAGGATGGCGTCACGAACACGTACACTTGGCAATCCCGGAGCCCTGAGCTGCAGAAGCCACTGCCGGCGAACCAGCAGCTCATCCGCAGCCCGGGCCTTCGCGATCGCCTCGGACGTCCACAACCCGTACGGACGAAGGTCGCGAGCCCTCTCATACATCCGGCGGCGGGACGCCGCCAAGATGTCCACGTGTGGCATCCGGGCCAGTAGGGTCGCAGCCACGTACGACACCGTCCTGTACCCGGACACTATCCGTATGGCGATTTGGCGCTGTATTCGCCTCAAGTCCACCTGGGCTCGCTGAGTTGCAGCAAAAGCCTCAGCCCAAACCGGCGCCCCGTAGAGAACCACAGACATCATCACGGTTGCGTACAACCGACGCCAGGCTTCCCCGGGGCCCCGCAAATTGGGCATTAGCCTGCTCAGGGCCCTCGCGATCGTCGCGACCTTCGTCCGAACATACTCGAAGTGAAACCTGAACGTCATACGACTGTCCAGGATCACCCCGAGATAACGCATACGATCCCCCATAGACACATAATCATCCCCCACACGAACATCCACCTCCACCGGAGGGGCCCACCCTCGAGCCTTTCTCCCATGGAATATAGCTGCTACCGTCTTATCCGCAGACACCCTGAGCCCCAGGCCAGCTATACACCCCACCGTGAATGCCACCTGAAAGGTGACACGGACCAAAGCCCTTTCTACGGAAGGGCCCGCAGCCAGAACCAGAGTGTCGTCCGCATAGCATATTACCTCGTACCCAGGCTCAAGACGAGCACTGAACACGCGGTCATAAACCACATTCCAGAGGAGGGGGCCCAGGACTGACCCCTGGGGGACGCCCGCCACCATACTATGAGACCTCACACCCCTTCCCGCGGACCGGGTACTCTACCGTCCTCTCGGACAGATAGGACCCGACCACGCGGCGGAGGTAGAGGGGAAAACCCTTATCCCGCAATGCACACATAATGTGCGACCGCGGCACCGAGTTGAACGCGTTTACCACGTCCAACCCGACCGCCACGGCCGCACCCTCACCCGACACCGCGTGCGACACAAAATCCAGGAGGAGGGCGTCCACCGTCGACCTACCCGCCCGAAACCCATACTGGGAATCGGACAGGGAGGCCGCCGGATGATCCGTCATCCAACTCTCCATCCGCCCCACCAGCACCCTCTCAAAGATCTTACCAATCTCATTGAGGAGGCAGATGGGGCGGGCCCGGAGCGGCCCGGCCGGCTCCGCGCCACCCTTGGGAATTAGGACGAGCCTAGCACGCCTCCACACAGAGGGGAATATCCCCTCTATGAGGCACTTATTAAAAAGCTCTATAATCTTCAGGAACGCCATGGGGATCTTCCGCCAGATCCTGGCCGGTACACCATCCGGACCAGGAGCCGGATTTCCAGCCCTAGTCTTGCCCAACACCCTGTATAATATTGGGTTAAGTAAAAAGTTTTGAGCGTTTTCCGCTAGATGGCTTTAGTGAGACCATATCTCACGATGTATACGTCGCATCTGGTCATTCTATACTGCGACTTAAAGATGACATAACGCTTTAAAAGAAGTTCTTTGACAGTTTGGTGAAGCCAGTTGTGTGTTAGAGCGTTCCAAAATGGAGGTAAAAAAAGAGAAAATTCGATACATTCTTCAGTACCACTACGACCAAAGAGAAAAAGCGGAGCAGGCGGCCAAAAAAATTTGTGCTGTTTATGGACCCAATATAGTATCGAATGCAACAGCAAAGCGGTGGTTCCAACGATTCCGTTCTGGTAATATGGACGTCGAAGATGAGACACGCTCTGGTAGGCCAATCGTCGAAAATGTCGATAAAATCATGGAAATCGTCGAGTCGGACCGGCATGCGAGCACTTATTCCATTGCCCAGGAACTGAAGATTAGCCAGAAAACCGTTTGGAACCATTTGCATAAGGCTGGTCTCAAGAAGAAGCTCGATGTATGGGTGCCACACGAATTGACGCAAAAGAACCATTTGGACCGAATTCATGCCTGCGATTCTTTGCTGAAGCGTAACGAAATCGACCCATTTTTTAAGCGGATGGTGACTAGATGAAAAATGGGTCACATACGAGAACAACAGACGAAAAAGATTGTGGTCCAAGCACGGTGAGCCGGTCCAAACGATCGCCAAGCCCGGATTAACGGCCAAGAAGGTTTTACTGTGTGTTTGGAAGGGAAGGGAAGTTTGGATTGGAAGGGAATCATCCACTATGAGCTGCTCCCATCGGGCCAATAACTCAATTCGGACCTACACTGTCAACAACTGACCAGATTGAAGCAGGCGATCGACGAGAAGCGGCCAGAATTGGCCAATAGGAAGGGTGTTGTGTTCCATCGAGACAATGCCAGGCCGCACACATCGTTGACGACGCGCCAGAAGCTCCGAGAGCTTGGGATGGGAGGTTATATCGCACCCGCCGTATAGCCCAGACCTGGCTCCAAGCGATTATCACCTTTTCAAGCATTTGTAAAATTTTCTTGATGGTACAAAACTGGCCTCAAGAGAGGCTTGTGAAAATTAGCTGGTCAAGTTTTTTACCAATAGGGACGAGGACTTCTTCAATCGCGGAACTATAAAATTGCGAATTGAATAAAACGGCGCATATTTGATCTAAATCCAATAATCCTAACTTTGTTAATTTCATCGTCGAAATAAAGAGAAAAAACGCTCAGAACTTTTTACTCCACCCAATATAATTTCTCTACATAAAATACAGTTACAAAGAAAGGCTAATATTTTAAAACTTTTGGGCGTTAATGGGTTAATTAGTTGACCTTATCTTTTGACATACCTTGTAAAGGTATAATTGCAAATTCTACTTTGTTATTAAATAATACTAATAATTAATCTATTCATGTTTCAGTGCTTCTTTTGTGCTACGGAAGTGGATTTTAGATCTTTATGTAAATCAATGCAAGAAGAATTAACACTGCCTCAGAAGCAACCATTATTTGAACTGTGCACAGAGCGTTTAACACATTGGTTACCTTCGGAAGATGCTGCTTCCGAGGTAGTAGCTGCTTCTAATTGTAAGTACTTAGTCATTATTCTAAAAATAGTAACGCTTATACCTTGCGATATAATTAAACTTTTGTTTAGATTAGTACAGTACACAGCAATGCTTTGCGCTAAGCGAACACGTGAAGTGAAGTGCAATGCTAGTTATACAAGGTGTCATTTTCAAAAACGCACCTTAGTAATTCTTCAACGAAGCATTTTCAGCAAAAATGTCTCGGACAAAAGTTGTATGATTTTAAGGGGGACATAAAACAACTATACCATTTTGTTTATAAATGGCACCACTTTCGAGATAATCACTGATCATTAGTTTTCTCAAATGGAAACCAATGATTTACCAATTGAAACCAATTTTTTATTACACCGTCTTTTTCTACCAATTAATTTAAACAACTTTTGTCTGAAACATTTTTTTATTTGCCTAATATTTTTTAAGATATTTAAGGAAAATTTGATAATTTTGTCAATATTTAACTCACGATATTTCGCAAACTATTTATCGGAAGAAAAAGTGGTACTAAATCATTTTGCTCTACTTGGTCCTAATAATATATTGTTATAATAGCGCCCTTTTGTTAATTTAATCATTTTCAAATTTCCAAAAATCGGTAAGTTAACAAAAATCAAGGCGCTATTATAATAATATATTTTTGAAATTAAATAGAACAGAAAAGTCTAGTTTCTTTCTTTGGGCTATCGGAAAAGTCATGACGTTTTCTTCCTATGTTTGTCAAAAGTCATTTATTTATATAAAGAACAAAGATTAATCAATGATATATTGTCCGTTTTGTTCGATGACTTTTTGTCATCTTTCAGTGAGCTTCATAATTTCTCGTTCATAGAAGGACCCGTCTTTAACCGGCGAAAAATTGAACAAGGTGCTAATTTACAGCCTTATCTGAATTTAACATTATACCATGCAAAGAGTTTTGAAGAGAGCGAAACAAGTAGAAGTCTGATGGCGCAAGGTCAGGCGAGTATGGTGGGTGTGGTAATACATCCCAACTAAGCTCCAATAATTTTTGACGGGTGATCAAACTTGTGTGCGGTTTCGCGTTGTCGCGATGGAACACTTCTTTACGATTAACAAGCTCTAGACGTTCCTGGATAATAGATTCGTTCAAACTGACCAATTGCCGACAGTATACATTCGAATTGATTGGTTCTCTGGTAGGAGCTCGAAAAACATGACCCCTTTAAAATCCGACCACACTGAGAGCATAACCTTTCTCTGATGAATGTCTGCTTTCGATGTCGTTTGAAGCGAATCATCATATCGGGACCAAGTTCATTTGCGCTCCACATTGTTGTAAATAATCCATTTCTCATCACTAGTTATCATTGGCTTCAAAAAAGGCTCGTTTTCCTCACGTTTAATGAGCATATTGTAAATGTTTATACACGTCGTCAAATGAACTTCTGTGAGTTCATGAAGAACCCAAATATCAAACTTGCTTACGTATCCCAAATTCTTCAGGTGGTCGTGAACGCTTGAATGATGGATGTTTAATGTTTCTGCAATCTCTCGTGTCGTGTAACGTGGGTTTGACTCGATTAATGCCTTTATTATGTCATCATAAACCTCGGTGGACTCCCGAGGAGTGTTGTTGAGATAAAAATCACCAGCACAGAATTTCGTGAACCATCGTTGGCACTGACGTAGAGCATTGTCACCGTAAATTTTACGCAACTTTTCACAAGCTTGACTTTTTAACTTACTGATTTTTGGAAATTTCAAAATCATCATATTAACAAAAATCAGGGAGCTATTGTAACAATATATTCTTGAGACTAAATAAAGCAAGAAAGTCTAGTACTACTTTTTCTTCCGACAAATAATTAGCGAGATATCATAAGTTAAATATTGAAAAAGTTATCAAGTTTTCCTCAAATATCTCAAAAAATATTAGAGAAATAAGAAAATGTTTTAGACAAAAGTTGTTCAAAATAACTAGTAGAAAAAAACAATGTAATAAAAAATAAAAAATAAAGATTCCTATTTAAAAAACGCAAATTGACCTTCAAATGACTTTGAAAATAAAGGTCTAGGTCAAAGTCAAGATCATCATAAGGTAGATCACTTAAATCCCTAAATCTTTATTTAAATCATTTTCCTTGAAATTTCAATACTGAAGAGTTATTTGGAATGGGATATTAAAATGGGACACCTTGTATGTCGTCCCTGTATATGTCGTATATTTATGAGTATTTGTTAATAAACAAAATTTTTCTACTCTTCATATGTTGTACAAATATATCTAAAATATACCTAAAATTTTCACTCTTGTACATTTATTCAGTTCGTTACAAAATATTATTAAAAACAAACGCGATCTTTCAGCAATCTGACCTTCCGATCCCCTTAATCATTTCACGACGTTTACAAGTCATGAGAAAGATCCAGAAAGTAGGGACATGGCTACCATATGAATTGACCGAATATATCATTGCTAATCGTTTTAACATCTCGATTTCTTTGATTGCAAGGCATAAAAAAAGAGTTTCTTGTGGCATATCGTGACCGGCGATGAAAAATAGATCTATTTTGACGATCCAAAACGCACGAAATTATGGATTGATCCTCGCCAATCATCAACGTCGACATCAAAGCGAAATATCCACGGTCATAAAGCAACTCTCTCTATTTGGTGGGATATGGAGAATGTCGTGTATTATGAGCTATTGAAACCGAACAAAATAGTCACTGCCGGATATTATCGACGACAATCGGAGCGTTGGAATGATAATTTGATGCAAAAACGACCATCAATTGCATCAAATCGTCGAAAAGTGATTCTTCTTCATGGCAACGCTCGGCCTCATATTGCCATAGCCATGAAACCAACATTGATGGAGCTTGAATGGGAGATTCTCTCGCACCCAGCGTATTCTCCGGAGCGATTACCATCTGTTCTGATCGATGCAACACGCTTTGGAAGATACACATTTCCATAATTACGGAGAAGTCGAAAATTGGATTACTGAATCGATTGGCTCAAAAGACAGACCGTTCTTTCGTCGCAGAATTCAACTTCTGCTAGAGAAATGGGAAAAATTCATAACTTTCGAAGACAAATATTTTGATTGATGTATTCACACATTTTGTTATTGAAATAAATATTCAAAAACATAAAAATAGCGGCTTTCAATGCAACATCCTAATAGAATGAATAAAGTTATCAATAAATTGTTGCACTTCTTCAACATTGCGAAATTGTACAGCAAAAGTGCTACATGCGACGAAATAAGTGAAAATCTGATGGGCCTATATCTGGAGAATACGTGGGATGTGGTAAAACTTCTCATTGCAATTCCATTAAAATTTTCCGTATTGTCGATACAACATGGGGCCTGGCATTGTCATGCAAAATAATCATTTTGTTTTGCTTTGTCGCAAAATATAAGCCGTTTCTCGATCAATTGCTCATTCAATTGCTTCAATTGTTGATTCTATAATTCCCTGGTTATAGTCAGAGATGGTTTTAATAGCTCATACAGCATTCGTTGTGTTACGTCCTGTAGATTTAATTAGTAAAAATTCTTTCCTCTCGCAGATTTATATTCTCCTAATATAACTATAATAGGAATATATACATATATAAATATAAATTAGGAAACAGACTCATCTGGCGAACAGCCGTCGCGCCAAATGAAAGGCGATTCGGGAAAATTCCATAACAGGAAACAGTGCCCTGTTGTAAAAATCTACGTCTTCGTTTAAAGTTTATATCTGGGTAGTGTTCGCCAAGTGTGTCCGTCGTCCTAGCCAAAAATTTGAAACTCCGCGCTAACAAACCTTCAGTAAAATAAAGCAACACAGAGCATTCCTGCTCTAAAACTTGAAACTTATATCTTCCCAATCCAAAACCATATGTGCCCTATCAGTCAACTAACAAAGCTTACTTCACTGATAGTCGTAAAATCTGATCTCAGCCTTTGATTTACGGCATTTTGATTTTTCCAGCCGGCCACTTGTATACATTTCTCTATCTCAAGAATCCACCACCTCCACGCTTGTCGCGCCTAATTCATTCAGCCAATCATATATCCACCTAAAACTATGAGACACCCACGCTCCACCCTTTAGCCCTTCCATATTCATATCTCCAAAAACTAACTGTCTCCTCCCACGATGTCTTTTAACTTTGCTAAAACTGAGACTTTTTCCCACTAAGACCAATTCACCCCTTCCTCAAAGGCCATCTCTCTACCCACCCTGATAGTTTCTGCCTCCGATTATCACTATAAAAACCGCGGTAATCCGCCTCCGCGACACACTACTTCTACTTCTACTTTTAATTCTACTCTGAAAAAGGTAGTCATACTCTCACTCGGATATTCTGTTTTGAGCATTCAGAATTTAGATTTCAAGTCAGACATTCAGATAATATATCTACGATTCATATATCCGAGTTTGTGCAAACATTCAAAGAAATCAGCAAAAGGCATTAGTGTTTGTGTTATAATTGAACAACCGGAAGGGAGTGGACGAGCACAACTTAACCTACCGAGCAGGAGCTACCAAACGACAATTTTATTTTTTGCTCACCTTCGGGATAACAGGAGTCAGCAGTAAGTTCTGTTTTTTTTTGCTTCTACCTTTTCTACCACCATCTTATTAATTCCCCATATTATTGAAATCCGTTTTTAGTGGGTCATTATTACAACATAGGAATAACCCTCCACCACGTTTTCCGAACGTTCGAGGCAGTTTTTGATATTAGCGATCCAGACCAACTTACGTCTCAGATCCACTACCTCCGAGCCATAGTTAATATAGCGTTAGGAACTGATTATCACCCGGATCCTACACTCCTATCCCCTTACCTTCTTCCGCGTTTTTCTCCTGGTACTCCGCCTTCTTCTCCTACACACGCGTCCCCGCCTTCAACCCCTTCGATATCTTATTCACCAGTTTCCTTCTCCGAACTATCCACTCCCTTAAATTCACCCGACCATTCACGCTCCCCCTCACCCGACTAACTCTTTACTCATATTCCTACCTTTTTTTTTATTTCCTCCTTCTTTCACTTCTCATACATACACACATACACATACACAGTCATTCCTCAACTGTATTAAACCGCGCCGTAATTCATTTTGTTATTATAGTCATTTTAATAAATCTGTTTATATTTCATTCTTTTTCCAATTAATTTCAAAATCACATATACCCTTCCAACAGTCAACTCATGGTCCTATCCCCGGTAAAGGGATTCGCGTCCCTGACCGAAAAACGGACCGCTCGTCGTACGTCGGTGCCCGAGTAAAGGGACCCGTCGGGTCCCTGACCCGTTCACTGATACGCGTGTACGAACGAGGTTCGCCTTACTCGCGAACGAAAGGGTTGCGTTCCTCCTCTAGGACATAACAGTTGCATGCCCCATTAGAAATATAGGAGGACCTTATGACGATGGATATTTCGTTTCGGCTATGACGTAAAGGGTTATCTGGGATTTAGCCATGATCATTTTCGATTGGGATTGTAATAAATCCATGTTTCGTTTCCGACCACAATTCGATACAAAAAAATTTGTGTTTGTGTCTATTGAGCAGCAAAAGGCAAATAGTGATTTGGCTGGCAGTAACGTTCTTAAATAGTTTTGATGTTTCAAAACCCGATTTTCAGAAATTTGAGCTGTTCAATCCCATTTCTCTATGTACTATCTTTACAAGAGGTTGGAATTTAAAAATACCATCGAATATGCACTAGTGTCCTAGGAAAATACCAAGGTAATGTACTTTTAATCTTGAAACATTTTTTGAGGAACTTATTTTCCTTCATTCAGAATTTTCCCCATCTCATGCAAGCGTCAAATTACAGTGTTTTGATTAACATGTAAACTTCTTGCAAGTTCTATATTCGATTGAGTCGAATCTTCTTGTAATAACGCTTCCAAATCATACAAACTCATCTCTTGCGACCGACGCGCTCCTTTTCTTTTAACCCATTAACGCCTAAGCGCACGTAAACGGACATTTGAATACCCTGCTTAGCTAAAACTAATTTTTTCCAGAGAAACTTGCTCCCTACAGATAAAAATGTCCGCTCTTTTAATTCCCGCCGTTATTTTTTGCCTATAATCTCCGGAAACCCCCTTAAAAAGGTGTACAGTGGGTAAATTTGGGAAAAAGTGTCCGTAGTACTTTAATAAACGAAAAAACGACGAGTTCAAAAAATGTTTCAAGATTAAAAGTACATTACCTTGGTATTTTCTTAGGATACTAGTGTGTATTCGATGGTTTTTTTAATTCCAATACTTTTTGAAACATGGAATATGTAGGTATACGAATTGAGATGATTATTTCAAAACATTTGTCAATTTAGAAAAAATTTAAAACAAATTTTATACTTTCCACCCTTAATAATATAACTGCACCTCCATAAAAAAGGTTGAGAAGCAAGGTACCCAATATCCGTTTACGTCCGCTTGGGCGTTAATGGGTTAAGTCAAAATCACCACTTTGAAAGAAACCATTCACGACATAAACTTTTGGCTATCGTTCTTTTATCATAAGTTTCACAAATGATTCTGGTTGCTTGGGCAGATATTTTGCGCTGAACAATTAAAAAATAGAATGATGAACTTGCGTCTTATCGATTTCCATCTACCTAGGATTTAGAGAAATTAAATTTAAAGACAAACGAGGAGGAGAAGGAGAGAGGAAGAGGGAGCGAGAGAGCGAGAGAGAGAGAGGGAGGGAGTAAGGAAAGAAGAGAGAGAGAGAAAGAGAGAGGAAGAGAAGAAGAGAGCGAGAGAGAGAGAGAGAGAGAGAGAGAGAGGAAGAGAGCGAGAAAATTAATTAACAAATGAATGAAATAATCCTTATTAGCTTTCTCAGCTATTTGTCTTATATCGAGTTTCTTACACTATGGGTATATTAGTTATTAGATGCGCAACTAAGTTTCCGGGTTTCACACATGGATGGCGTTAACGACACATGTAGTCGATATACATGTCTGAAGTTGTGTTTTTTTATAGCTTGGACATCTGTTAACAATAATCAGTCGTAATACCAACACATATCGCAACGCAAAAATATTTTTTTCTAACAGCGAAGATGTCGAGTTTTCTGCCAAATAAACAGCATTTGCGGGAAGCTTTGCTTTTCTACTTTAACTTGAAAAAAAGTGCAGCTGAAGCACGTCGTTTGCTTGAGGAGGCCTACGGCGAACATGCACCATCGAAAACTACCTGTGAAGATTGGTTTAAACACTTCAGAAGTGGCGATTTCGACACTGAGGACAAGGAGCGCTCCGGAAGACCAAAAACAATTCAGGACGCCGATCTGCAAGCGTTATTGGATGAAGATGATACGCAAACACAAGATCAACTTGCGGAGGCATTAAACATGATTCGCCAAGGTATTTCCAAACGTTTACATGTCATGGGAAAAATTCGAAAGGAAGGAAAATGGATGCCGCATGAGTTGACTGAGAGACAGATAGAAAATCGAAGAGCCACTTCCAAAATTTTGCTTTTGCGGCATGAAAGAAAGAGTTTCCTGCATCGAATTGTTACTGGCGATGAGAAGTAGATATTTTGAGAATCCCAATCGCAAAAAATCGTGGCTTTAACCTGGCGAAGCATCAACATTGACGGCACGGCCAAATCGCTCCGGAAAGAAGACAATGTTCTGCGTTTGGTGGGACCAGAAAGGAATCGTGTACTATGAGCTGCTGAAACCGGGCGAAACTGTTAATAGGCATCGCTACCGACAACAACTGATCAATTTGAACCATGCATTGCTCGAAAAACGGCCAGAATGGGACACGAGACGAGTGATATTGCAGCACGACAACGCTCCGTGCCATCGCACTTCCATCGTCCAAGACATCATCAAAACGCTGAAATGGGATCTGCTACCGCACCCGCCGTATTCGCCAGACCTGGCCCCTTCCGATTATCACTTGTTCCGGTCGATGGCGCATGGCTTGGCTAGGCACTACTTGGTCAATTTCGAAGAAGTGCAAAATTGGTTGGATGAATGATTTCGGTCCAAAGACGCGTCGTTTTATCATCGCGGTATTCATATGTTGCCAG